CATGATATCCACACTAGCATTTGTCTCTTCCTTCATTCGAGCTGTGGCAGGTTCAATTTGAATTCCCTATTTAATTCTTCAGATAAATGGATCAAGAGATGCCTTCTAATGACCGTGTTACATGCTCTGCTGTGTTCTAAATGTCTTCAATTCTTTTGAGGCTCCCTGAATTTTCAAAATGAAATGGCTCATTTGCAGATGGTTTGAGCATCACATTCTTAGAGAAACAACTAGAGCCACTGAATGGAAAGTAGCGAAATACAGTGACTTTGAAATTATTAAGCATTCTTCCCCTTAACCAGAAGCTACAATTACTATCATAAATTCCTTCAACAAATATTGTTGGGAGACATTAATGTATAGGGCTACTCTTTTCTGTATGCTGTTTTATCTTGATGTCTTGACAAACAGATGGGGTGTTGGCAGCAAAGTTATTCTATTTCTTCATCATCAAAGTATGTGACATATCTGTTTGAAAGTTTCTTGCCCCTTCAGGTTACTTCAATACCTCATTATCATCTCATTTGTAGAAGACAGGGATGTGTGTTCACCAAGTTCAATTTGATTTTTTTCTTCCTAGGGACAAAAGAAGACTATATTTTCTAGCTTTCTCTATGACTATATCAGGACCTTGGAGCTCCTTCTGGTCAACACATTGTAAGTGAAAGTTATGAGTGTCAATTTAACCTGACCAGTGACAATAGCTAGTCACACATTTCAGATGGTAAAGCTACAACAAAGCAAGCCCCTATGCTGGACATATGGCATAAATGAAATATAAGAATTGTTACATGAATCTATTGAAATGTTGAGGGTATTTGTTCTCCTAGCAGAGCTTATCTTACTCTATTAACACATGATGACTACAGCACTCCCACCAAGTTCCAAATGTCCATATATTTCATGTATCACAAGTACACTCTACTAACCACTCTATTCAACTGTCTCCTTGTGCTGAGGCAATTCCAAGGGCTAACCATGCCCTACATTTTCATCTATTGCCTGCAAACACCTTGTTAAAAAGATGGTTTGTAGTCTTCCTTGGCTGGAGAAAATCAGAGCCTACAAGAGTAAAGAGGAGTAGAAGAGAGGTAAAAATTAACGGTTCTTAAATGTTTTGTGCATCAGGATCACGTGAGAAGTTTAAATGCAGATCTGCCCCACCTTAGAGACCCTTGTGTAGTTAATCTAGGGTCAAGAAATATGCATTTTCATTTGAATGTGAAATGATTCCTGTGAGGGATACATTTCATGAAGACTTGAATAAAACCCAGGTTTAGGATTTCTCTCTTGTGATCTGCATAGGGAATATGGAAAGGGCTTGAAAGATTTCCTATAGGTTCTCCTTGCATCCTTTCCCAAGTTTGACCTGTATAATACCTTATTCAAATAACAATGTCCATGAGCTAAGGAGACAGCCCTTTGGGGAAGGGAAGTGTCCTGGGGGGTCTTCATTTGAATTGCCCCCCCCCCAAGTGATTCTTTGATGCACAGAAGTTTGAAACCATTGCCAAAGGAATTGTCTGTCTTTCTGTTCATATTTTAATGGTTAGTTCAATTTATTATTCATGCCTTTTTCTGAACAGGAACATTAGTTTTTCCAACTGCTTTAAATCTTCAATCTGGAAGTGAAAATATTATTATTGGACTTTTTAATAGTGATAAAAGGAAGTCACTCTGGAATTGTCAGTGTCATATCTGCTAAAATATTACATTTGTTTTCAAGATAAGGGGTGAATATATACTGATATTTCATTAAGAATAATATAAATAATTTATTTCAAGGAAAAACTAAGACCATAGTGTAAAAAATGGTCCTACTTCTTAAAATTACAACATGTAAAAATTAAGTTCTATAGAATCATAATATGAAAAGGTCAAACAATACAACAAACTTAATAAAACCTTTAATTAGCCACACATAGGGTTTACATTAACTGATTCTAAAAATTTTAATGTGTTATAGTTCTGAAGCAGTTTCATCTTGGTGAATTCATAATATAAAAACTTCCACTTGAATACTCCAGGGTTGGCTCTAGCATTGGCACTGGATACCTTATTAGAAGGCTGAGGTAGAAACCCAAGTCTTTCGCTAATTGGCTGATTATCATTTAAGCTAGATAATAGGTTTCTGTTCTCAACTGTTCAAGGTATTTTATGAAAGTAAAAGATAGTTGATCTGTATAAAATAAATTTGTAGTATACTATTCAATACCCACAACACCCAGTGAAATTAATATCTTCTAAGTTTTCATTAAGAGATTAAAGTTTGAAGAGACCATGATTAAACAGAAAGGAGAGACATAGGACTCTATTAGACTTTAAATTTATGCTTTTAAAAGGCTATATTTCTTAATAATGATATATTAATTTAGTCTACAATTATGTCATTTCAATTATGGATACTTAAGGCTCATGAGAAAAGAATTTTGCCTATCATCATATGTCTCATTGAAGTACATGGCCCTAAATATCAAACTCAACTGTGGCATGATAGATCAAGGAATAATAGCATAATTTCCTAGACTTTCTCCATATAGTAAAATACTGTCCATTATCTTTTTGATCCCTATATAGCTAATGTACAAAACTATTACTTTATACCACTTATGCTGTACTTATATTGTCAAAGGAAACTGATACCAACCAAAATTTAGCTTTGGGTGCGCCAAAAATATATGGCTATATATAATAAGAGATCATGTTAATTTCCATGCTCTGCCATTAGTTCTTGCATTTAGTTTTATCCCCTTAAAAAATAATTGGTAAGTTACAAAAGTAATTTTTCAACTATTTCCAAAGATATTTTACAGTTTGGGAATACTATATTGATCAGATTAACTCTGGATTGGGGATTTCTCTCAGAGTATTTAGAACCATTTATATTACCCATCGTAATATAAATGGAGAGAAACCACTGTCTGTCTTCCCAGTTCAGATCCTTAAACGTACATCAAGAATGGATTACTCTCTTCAAGAAGGGGTGTAATATAGAACCAGATCATTGGTTGTGCTAAGTCATTTCCTGCTGAATATACAGTTATGGTGGCCTGTCATTTCCGAATTAAAATTTACATGGTAAATCACATTTACTTTGGAGGGCCTTCATCTGTTTAGCTTCAGAGAAAGTACCTTCTAATTTCTTGTTTCAAGACAGAAATGATCTTCTGATTCCCTCTTTAAGAAAGTTAGAATTTTCTTTCTCCACTACTCTGTTACTGATTGGGAGAGGCCACACTCATTAGGCCAAGCGCACTAGCAGCCAGGACTAAGGTATTGAAGGTGACTGTATTGAAAGGTGGCATGGCTAGTATGGTCTCTTGATCTTTTTGATATGCTTCCATTCAGAAATTACAGATTTTTTTTGCTTCTAGTTTTCTTGTAGTAAACCCAACAGGCAGGGAACCTTTATATAACAGATAGAAGACACACTGTTTTTCAACTTTTTCTCCTGTGCTGGAATGTTAGGTCAGATCAGCCCTATTCTGAGGGCCCAGATGTCTTCAATTTGGAGAAGTGATAAACATTCCCTATTACATCCTTAGGGCCAGCTTATGTTCCCCAGTACCAGTACTGTCTAGGACACTTGGATTCCCATTTTTGACATATGTTCTTTGGCTGAATACTTTAGTTCTGAAATTATAAATTAGTAACCTTCAAGCTAAATATGTCTCCCAGATGTGTTTTGCTTAGCTCTTTGCCCTTGTTTTATTTTTATAACTCCATAATTGGGAGTATATACAAAAATCTAGATTTTTAGTTTCTCTTGAAAAAAACTGCAAAATCTGACAACACAGGGCTAAATCAGTAGCAGCAATCAAATGGAGCTGAGTAAAAGCTTACTCCTTTTATATAAAATACATTTTTTCAGTTACTTGCAGACCCAGGGATTCCCCATCATGCTCCTAACTTGAAAATCAAGTGCCACCTGCCTTTTATTGTTATGCGAATATGTTGGCAGAAAATAAATATTTTTCTGTACCTCTATCCTATTCATGGATAGATGGTCCCTATATTATGCTTGTGTCTAGCCACCCTTTATTTTTTCCTTATCTTCTAATTCTTATAGGCACTTGGCATTTAACATCCCTTCTCAGAATTCTGAATGGAAAGAAGGAATTCAGGCACCAAACTCCCCTCAAAATCCCTTAAAAGACTGAGTTTTTCATCATCTGTCACTTTTAAAAAAATTAGATTTTTATGTAAAATCCCATTTCATTTAAATACTTTCTCACTGTCTTTTGGAACTTTCCCAGATTTCTCTCTATACACCTCAGAAGAAACAAAAGGGATACTTCAGTTTTTCCTGTTCCCTAAACCTAATCTCAATTTTCTGAAATGGAATACTCCTCAGATTTGAATACAAAAGCCAGAATAGGTAGAAGGGAAGAGAGAAATTAAAAATTTGTTAGTACAAATGAAATGACATAAAAATATAACTTTATTGATGCTAACAATGTTAGGAAATTTAGAGCACACTAGTTTACAGTGAGACAGAGAACACCATATATCCCTGGTTGGGTATGTTTGGTTCTTTGAGGGAAAATGTGCTGTAGGTTTTCTCTGGAGCTTTGTCCTACAACTTTCACCAGAACCAGCTCTTTCCCATGGTGCTCCCTGGGGAAATGTACACCCTACAGTGTCATAGTCCAAGTACACCTGACTAAGATCAATCAACTAACTCATAGGACACATATTTAAAATCTTAGCTTGGGTTTAAACCTTCGGGCAAGATAGAGGTTCAGACTTTAGGCAACTTTCACATACTGACCTTCTAGGACCCAAGAAGAGTGTGCTCTTCTGAGGCCGTTAGAGGCAATAACTCTGGATTCAGGTCCTTCAGGTCTTTTGTCTCCTAGAAATAAATAGTTTTTAAAAATCAATAAAAGGGATATACATCTGATAGTTCATTAGATGATAAAAATGTCAGTCATTCCCTAAGCTTCATGACATAAAGAGGACTGGTAGAGAGAGAAGCCACCACCCACCCCACACAGTAATTATAGGATATAAAAGTCATTGTTATTGGACAAATCTGTGAAATGGTGAAGAGCAAGAGCTGAGATCTGGGGAGCAGGGGGTTCCAATCTTGTGCCATTTTGTATCCATTGAGTTTCTGACTCTTGGGGAACAGGCTTACAGAGGTGTGTCTCCCACTGGGGCTGCGTCTGCATCTCTGCCCGGCTCTTGCTCCTGAGGTGACTCTCTCCCTCACAGTAGGTGACACAGCAGCGACAGGCTGCAGAGGGCTTCCCTCGGTGCTTGGACAAGGTGCCAGGGTCAGGAGGGGCACCTGGAGCCCTCTCTGAGCTCTGGAGCTCCTGGGGCTCTTTCAAACGACTTCTTCTCCTCTGAACATGATCCAGACTGATGTCCGACTGAGAAGAGCAGCTCTCATTCCAGCCCGAACTGGCACTCAGACTTCTCAGGGGAAGAGCCAACCTCAAGGCCTTCCAGAATTTGGAGCCAGAATGTTTGGACTTTTCTCCTTTCCAGCTTACAAAGGACACTGATTCCTTCAGCTGCAGGATGCCTGGGTGTGGATGCTCAAGGGGACGGTACTCCACCACAATGAGCTTGGTGGCAATAGAGTTCTGGCACATGACACCCAGTTTAAACTCCAACATGCTGATGCTCTTTTCTGTCACGTAGTCTGGGCTCAGGACAACAATCATCCTTCGGCTCCTCTGAATGAAATCAAAAACTGCTTCCACTGTATCTACAGGAAAATGAAAAGATGGCACGGTGTCCGTGAAAACTTCTATACATCCCAGTACATTATTGTGCATCTGACAAAGGACAGGCAAGGAACAAACATTTTGAAAATATAGGATCTCAGTGCTAAATAATCCACCTAGTCAGGAAATTAAGGAATGTCGTCTGTACCTTTATTATTAATAGTTTCAAAGGATTTGCTACCTTCAAGGATGAGGAAGGATTTGAATTCAATATGTCCCCATTGCAAAACCCCTACTTGTAGTAGTCCCTTCTTGAATAGTCTTTCTTTACTATTAGAAAAGAAAAGCCAGAAAATGGTTCAGGAATTAAGTGAACCATCTCTAAAATCCAGTTAATTTGGGGCTGTGTAGATTATTGCTTCTTTTGAAATCTTCATAACTGCAAGTTTTATCTGATGGTCTTAGATCTGACATCTTCAAATGTTTGAAATATTTGACAACTTTTGTGATGTTACTGTATTTTCTTCTTACCTGTAGATTAAATAAATTCAGGATTTTTCCTTTTTTCCCATAAATGACATAATTTCCAGTCTCTTTCTCACTCTCATCATTTTCCTCTGAATAATATTCAGTTCTATATGTATCTTCTAAGAATAGCACTTTGAATAGCAAAGGAAATGTTCTTGACATAATCTGATTGGTAAAGACCAATTGGAATTACCACTTCCTAAGATCCTCAGTTATATCCCTTGGTACTTAACATTTTTGGACCCAGTACTGATTTTATTATCAACTAAGATTTATTTCTTTCCTTCCTTCTCTTCTTTATGTGTAAGTGTGTATGTTTGTGTATGTGTATGTGTGTGTTGTAAAAATTGACCTTATAATCAAGAAGAAGCAAAAATAATGACAATAGACAAAAATCAATAAATTAGTTAATAGTTCTGGCAAAGCATTCATTTCTAACAGTTGCTAAGGTGGATTTGGACAGATCCCAAAGGAAACTTCTTCAAATAAATGCAGTTCTTAACTAACTGTGAGATTTGGGAACTTATACAATGCGATTATCTTAAGTAAAGGAACTTCAAATGTGTGAATCATAGCCACAGACAACTCTGAAATCACGTGCCAAAGACAGACTGAGGTTGTGCCCACACTTTTTGAGAGACTTTTCAGTTTGTCATGACAAACTGTAAATTCGCAGTAAATTTGATCTTAATGAACTTGACAGGGAATGAAGAGATAGGATCCAAAGTAGATTAATCCTTTCCAATCAGTGCATTTAACATGAATTTGAATGAAAATCCAATGTGCTCAATTTTTGACATTTAACTGTTTTTATCAAGAATATAAAAAAAAAAGCTATTTTGGAAATTTTTGGTATTGAAAGACAAATTTAAATGTCCATTTCTCTTCAGAATCTCTGTGTGTGTGTGTGTGTGTGTGTGTGTGTGTGTGTGTGTGTGTGTGTTGGTAACTCCTTTGTTCCTGCTTGCTGTTCCTACTCAGGATCTCTTGACGCTGCATCTAATAAATTAGAGAATATCAGAGTGGGAAGTTACTGCTTTTTCTGGTTCATGAGAAATGCAAAATAACCTTAAGACAACATGGCTTGTGTAGAGGATTTGGGCAAACTCCACAAATTGTGTGTGTACTTATGTATGTGTTTGTGTGTATGGTATACTTTATTTCAAAATATTACCTTAAGAAAATATGAGTTTTTTTTTTTTTTTTTTTTTTTCCAGTGGAGATACCACAGTTGAAAGTAAAACTGTCTTAGATCTTCTAAAAAATTGTCTTCAGGGCTTATGTTTTCTTTTCTTTTTTTTTTTTTTTTTTAATATATTCCCCTTCCAGAAAGTGAGGGATTTACATTTGAAAAAGGACAATGCTAAATAAAGATATGAGTGGCAGAATTCCAGACATTGAGGACTGAGAGTGGAGATGCTCCTCCAAGGGGGCTTGGCCTATACATAGAATTCTCTTCACTTGGTACTTTAAAGAAAGCTGCCTCCTGCACTGCATATTTTTAAAATACCTTCCATATTATGAAACCTTCATATTTAAGATGGATGCTATTATCATTTTTAATGGTAAATATTATTTGAAGAGGGATTACTAAATTAGATTGTTTATTCTGTTTGACTCAAAAAAAAAAGTGAGGTGTGACTATACAGGTGTGACATCAGTTTTCTTTTATGGCACTGTATTGGAGTTGAAGACATAGTTCTGGTCCAGAATTCCACCACACTCAAGGATTCACCCATCTTTTAAAGTCATATTCCCTCTGGAATTTACATAGAAGAAAACTATGACTTCAGTTTGTTCTTTGGTTAGGATAAAAGTGGACAAGTATGCTTCTCTTCCTCCTTTTCCCTCTCTCCCCCTCCTCCTCCCTCCAATAAAACTTGAAGTACAGTAGCAAAAAGGTGCACCTAATCTGGAAGATGGATCTGAATCCAAATCTTGGTTTTCCAGTGTCTGTTTTTAGTCTGAACATTTTTGAATCTAAGGTCATCCTTCTATGAAATGCATAAGATAAGGGAAAACTTGTAGAAATGTAAAACAAATGAGGTATCTATATGCAAATGTCTAGCATGCAGTAGTCATGTGAACAGCTCATATGATTAAAGTATTATTCAATGTCTAGTGCTCATTAAAATAATATATGGACCAATTTTGTTGAATTTTTATCAATTCCTGATACTAACTTTAGAATATCACTTTGATACATGGATTGGTGAGGATAATAGGGTTTGAAATTCTGGGTATTTAGTTTAAAATGAATGTAGATCAAAAGTACTGTTGAAATAATCTCCTAGCTCATTGCTAAAGTTACTTTATGTCACATGGGTAGAAACAGAGAAATAAGACTGGCTAGTTGCTAAATGTGTATCTCATATCACATTGAAAATTTACTTGTGTGAAAAATCTAGTGGCACCAGTGAGTGACTGAAGAAAGTATCTTCAGGCTTTTAACAAGGTAATAGCTCAGTAAATGAGGCTACCAAAATGCTGATACGGAATCTTCCAAAGAGTCACCACTATGTTCTAGGAGATCATTTAATATTTTGGGGGTTGAAAGCAACTTAAAACTTATCCCCACTTATCCAATATAGAAATTTCACATACAAACTCTAATATGAATCAATCAAGTCTCTGCTTATGTATATCTTATAAGGAGACACCTAGCATGTCCAAAATTAGGGAATTTCATTATTGTTCAACTCTGACACAGTTGTTTCCAATTGATTTGAAATCTATTTCCTTGTAACTTCGATGCATTGATTTGAACTTTACCCTTTGGGGAGTGGTTTGCAAGAGGAAAATACTTCAGCAAAATTTTTTTTTACAAAGTTAACTAGTACAGAGGATGTTATAGGGCTCAATAAATGCTATTGGAATAAATGATGAAATGGGGAATTTTTTTCTTTTTAGCATGAAGACAGTCTTGTACCTAAGGGCTTAATATTATTATCACAAAAGAAAATGCGTTTCCAAATATTTTTCACTTATTTACTTGAAGTTTGTGAGAAAAATGTATCTTTGGTTCAAATTATCATCTATTAACGCACAGCATTAATTTCTTCTGCCAAAGCTGCTGCCTTGGAGTTGCTTTAAAGTTTAAAAGGTAAGAAATTCCTGTAAGCTTTAAAGTTCTAAGCTGAACCTAAAGGAATGTTTGTGGTTTTTTTGAAAAGAATAATTCTCTTCTCTCTCCCCCTCCATGCTCTGTATCCCTCTGTCACTGTATACACATGCACACATATACAGACACATTCCCATGTTTGGTATATCACATTGTTGATATGAAGTTCCCACTATCTTCAGATATCTCTCAGAAAGAAAGTTAAATATAATTTCATTTCTTTTTATAGTGCAATAATTGATCATTTTAATTCTTATTCCTTATGCTTAACATGAAAATAAAGACATAAAACACATGCACAAAATAAAATTCAAAGCTGAAAATAAATGGTTTATTTTAAAAATATGTAAATTTACAAATCAAATGAAAAATGGAAAATACAAAATTTCATGAATAAAATTAAAAAGATAATCTTAAAATATTAAAACCTATAGAAAGAAAATGGGTAATTAACAAGTGGAGTGATGTTTTTGTTCCCAGTACAATGGAATGCTTTTTTTATTAGAATCCTAAGAATCATTTAAGCTGCAATACAAAAGAGAATTCAATAAATTGTATGGGATTGTGTAATTAGACACTCTACATAGCATGGTTCTTTGTTAACCTGGGTGCAGAAGGTACTAATGTCATAGATCTAAAACTTTATAAGAGAAATTATTTGTTCTTGCTCTCTAAATTATGAGTATGTGTCCCTATATCCTTCAAAGGGGAATCGTCTAGAATAGAAAACATGTTTAAAGTAAGTTCTATCAGGATGAGACAAATTAGATTTGATTTGCTTTATATTATAGCATTTGGAAAAACTCAATATGAAAGATAGGAATATAAATAGAAAAACACACCATGGAGTTTCCAGGGGCCCCTATGGTATTAAGGATAAATATGAAGCCCCAAAGTGCAAAAAAAAAAAAATGCAGCATCGCAAGAAAATGGCCCCTTGGGAATGAGACCACCCCTTGTTGACCTAAAGCTCCTAAAATGATTGATATTAAGTGCTACTCCAGAGTCAACTCTCCTCTGGTCTTGTAAATAAAGAGTTAGTAGAGGGAATAATTATGATTTATCATAAGAAAAAGCATTAAAAAGGCTAAAATATTCATTCCAAGAGTGACTCCATATCATAGCTTTATAGTCAAGAATACAAAAGGGAATAATTTTTTCAATTTAAAGTAATCAATAATTTCTATGTAGAAAAATTATGTATTATGGACTTTAACACTGATAAAGGATGCTTACATGTAGAGGACAGTTTTAGAATTGCATAATAAAATTCATACTACTAGGACAAGGGCCTCCTTAAATTATGAATTATCGTGTTTCATAGTATCCTCCAAACTCATTTATAGGTATATTTATTTTCTTTTATTACTTAAAAGTCTACATAGTTGAGCACTAGGATTAGCATGGCTTAATTTCTTAATATGTCTTCTAGGAATACAGTAGAAAATCAATTAATACCAGATAACTGGCTACCGTTTAGCAGTGACTAAAGAAGTTCTGTGTACAACAGAGTCCACTGCAAGCCAGATCAGCTGTAGCCATAATAAGTTATTTATATGAGTGTAGGGAAGGCAAGAACTAATGACAAGTACCACTCTGTGAGCAGCAAATTCACAAATAATATTAATGAACTGACAACACCAACACAAAAGCATTACAGTATGAACATAATTTAAAAACTGGACAAGAGTTATAGTGGTTTGTAATATCTTACTAATGGCTGTTTAAAGATGAGCACATGCATATGTGTCTGTGTATATGTATACACACATAGATAATGCATGCGCATGTGGATTCATACATATACACACATACACAATTTGTGTGTGAATATATGTACACACGAGCATATAAAATTAAGGTGTGTGGATATTTATATATATGTATACTTATATGTGTGTGTATATATATATACACATATATACATTTTCTACACGTAACATAGATATCTACTTTGTAAACTCTGCACTTAGTTTTACTTTTCCAAGTCTGAAGAACATTAAAATTTTACTTAAAACCAACCAGAAAAGTTTCATTGACAATGACCTTTCAGATGGACTTATTTGGATCAAGGTATTACCTGTGCTAGTGAATAAATTACAGGAAGTACAATTAATTCTTTTAGAATATTAATGCTAAAAGCAACTGTCAAGGTTACTAAATCTAATCTCCACACATTACAATGAGGAGACACAAAAAAGTGAGGAGAAATCATTTTCCTAGTTTTCACATTAGCAAGGTTGGATTAAAAGGCAAATTGCTAAACATCCTGTTCTGCACTCTTTTCACAAGTTAGAAATGCCCTAAAAGCATTTTGCTCTCCATTAGCACCATTAGAAGTTGCCTTTCAGACTGAACCAAGTATAGAGCCACCTGAAAATCTGTTTTTTCTTTTTAACCTACAAATTCTGAGTGATTGATACAAGTAGAGAGGGAGATGGAGTAATAAATATGAATCAATCCAAAGATAATCAAGGATTTACAGTAATTAAAAATTATGATATATTTTTCAAGTTTATAAATGTAACATCAATTACCTGAGATGAGGGCAAATGTGATATAGTAAGAGGAAATGCAACATGCCCTTTAAATCAATCATCAGAGACATTTTTAGTTATATTGCTTTGTAACCTCCTAAGTGGGTGTCGGTCTTGCTGTGGTGGTGTATTGAACAGCCAAATGAGCAAAAGAGCTTGTTTATCCTCAGAAAAAATAGATGTAGACCCTGATTATCTTTTTAATGGATGAGTAAAAATAAAATAAAAAAATACTCTACTCAGAAAATTATAATACCCGTCAACAAGTAACGTTTCGTAAAGGGATTTTTAAATCCACAGACACAGCTGCTCTATAAGGTTAAGATTTGAGGTTGGGGGGGCAGGGATGGAGGATGTAAAAGAGGAGATTCACTTCAACCCAGTCTTTACCTGCAAAGAACACAGGAATATCAGAGACTGGGAACAGACTGTTGACACTATCATTCTAAACCTTAGTCATGCCTGAGAAGCAAAACAGCCATCCAGATAGTCACTCTGAATTTATCCCTATGAGGAGGCTGAGAATTTTTTTCTGCTTATCAAACCATAAACTGGGAAGAAAAAGGGGGGGCTCTTCCCCCCAGGAGTACCCTTGGTTCTCGTTACTCTTTACATTTTCCCTTTCATACATTTTTCAGGGATGAATAGGAGAGCCCCTGCTTGTCACTGCTAGACCTCCTGGAACTCTTCTTCACTGGCATAGCCACCTGCAGCTGCTTCCAGAACCTGCCCTGTGGATACTTGGATTTCTCCCCTTTCCATTTAATGACCGTGAGCACCGTCTTAGCCCTCTTCAGCTCTTTCACCTTCGTCTCCTTCACAGCTTTGTACTGCACTAAAATGACGTTGATGTTGCCCCGAGAGGCCATATTTTCTAGGCCAGCCTTGAGCTCCAGGAGGGCTTGGGTTCCCTGGAGCACGTAGTTGGGACTTAGGACAACCAGGAGGCGTCTGCTTTTCTGAATGAAGCTCAAGGTCTCATCTGTGACAACTGGGAAAGAAAACACCATGGGGATTAGTGTTGGCCCAGAACTATCCAAAAGCATGGGGCTTGAGGGAACTCAGGGTGAAACCTTACCAGCAGCACGTGGTTAGCCTTAGACCCAATCATGTTCTTCACTAAGTGCCATTCTCCTCAGGGAAAATGGAAATGGCATCCACATATTCCGCTCAAAAAGAAGATTCCAAACAAGTATGAAGCCAAAACATGGCTGTGACCTCAGTCTTCCAAAGCATGACTGGAGCCACAATGAACAGATGCGTGACACAGGAATCAGTTTCTATAAACAGCATGGTATGTTGTAACCCAGTCAGACCTACTCCTAAGCCCTATACAAAGACACCTTTGTATAATCTCCCTAATATAAAAAAAAAATTCAAAAGATATATGTTGTAGAGTCCAAATCATAGAATTTCACTTTTTGCTAACACAGGAAAGGGTAGGAATGTTCACTTTTGAAAGTCCCCTCCACTGTTGAACACCTCCTTGACTCTGACTGATATCAATGTGGTTGGATGAGGACCTTCAAAAATATAGCCAATCCAATGGGACCTTGTCTAGAAATGCATTCACAACTTGGCTTTCTACCTCTCTCTGCTTTGGAGACCAAATTAATCCCTGATCTTTCTCCTCAAAATACTATCATTACTAGGGAGCCATGTGTTTCTGCAGCTGCTGGTGATGTGTCTACTTTCACTCATTGGCAAACACTTTTTTTAAAGTAAAATAAAAAAGAAGAAGAAGAAAAAGCAGGGGAAATGGAAGGGCAGTATAATTTTATTCTGCAGTAAGGGGCTCTGATTAATTCCTCTCAGTAAATTCTTGAAACTAATCTATCACCTCACAGATGCTTAGGGAGGGCTATATAATCCTTTACAAGGGCAGGGATAGTTGCCAACTTCAGGTGATGCACTGATGTTATGGAAATGTACGCCCTGGCTCACCAGGATCCCCTATGCAGTCTTTTCGATGCTTAATCTTTGTGAGTTCAGAAATAATAGGTAAAGATAGGCAATTAGAATCTAGCATGTGCAACCTGGAGGAGCATTTAGGAATAAATATCTGTCTGCTCCAAGAAGCTCAACTAGAGGCTGACCATATGTAAGCATAGAAAGAGACCCAGAGGCAAAGTGAACTGGGCAAGAGCAGCAGGGGGGATACAAAATGACACAAGAATCTATCAGAAGAAAGATGCAAGAGTAATAAGAGAAAGCTTGAATTCTCCCAAGAACTATCAACCCCTATTGGAAGGTCTTACCCAGTTATATATGTATATTTTTCTTTAACTTTTCACACAGAAATTATTGATGGAATGGCTGATGAAAGGATAAATGGATGAGTGTGATATGGGGGAATTAAGTATTAAAATGAACAGAATTTATCCTTTAACCATATGATTATTTTATCATTTCCTGGCAAAGTTATACTGAAAGAGATATCTTCTGAAGGCAAATATGATAAGCTTTTGTATGATGATTAGGTAAATAAGATAGCAGATCTATTTAATTCAAAATGAGAAAAATATTTAAGCCTATCTTATGTCTCAATGATTTACATAACATCTTTCAAAAACATGTTAAACAAATGATTAAGGTAAACAGGATCTTCTAAGAAGAAAATTAGTTTGTCATGCTTAAGATTAGAGACAGTGCAAGTGAATTTCAAAGGTAGGGAGTTTAGTTTATAAATGTTACTTTGTGTTTTTTACAAAGACACAGGTGAACCACTGCTTTGTGTTTTACAGTTTAGCCTTGAAAAGATACTTTTGCTTTAAGACATTCAGCAATCTCTGCTTTTCTTTTTTAAACCTGCTAGAATACCTTGTAAATTTTTAAAATAAATCTCAAATGTATAAGCTGATAAAACAGAAGCAGACCCAAGGAAAAAAAAAGAATTTGAGTAGTACAAGTTTGCTAGAAAGCAAAAGCAAAGGAAAGGAAATGGCCAAGTGCCAAAGGGAAATATTCTATTGTCAGTGAACAAAAGAAGGGAAAATTCTATGCACCCTAATCTGTAACTCAGTCTTAGTAAAACTAAGCCTCAATCTTTATAAAAACAACATTTTAATTTTACTCAGTCTTTGTAAAAAAACAAAAACAAAACATTCTTAGAAAACCAATGCAGATTTGTATAAACTTTCTAAAAATCTAAATATGAATTTAAAGGACTTTTAAAGCTATGGCACTTTGATATAGTTTAACTCCACTGTGGATCTATGTTTCTGAAATGGAGTTGTTAAAGATAACCAGGAAAAATATTTTTAATACCCTAAACGAGTTGAATAGTGTAAATCTTACAATATAGTATTATTTCTGGAGAAGTCGCTATTATATCAAGGAATTGGACATTAAATATCCAATATAGAACTATGACTCTCACACACAATCTAAAGCTAAGAATCCCTTTGCCTTTCAAGGGTAACATCATTTGTACTCCTGTGAAATACCTACTTCCCCCAGGCAGACTGTCTCGGTCAAAGATGCACAATTTGTATCCAAATTCATTCTCCAAAACTCCACGGAGGGTCAATAACACAAATTCCTCTTCTTCAGCATTCCTTGCGTAGGATACATAAATATCATACTCCTTCCCATCTAGCAAAAGGAACACAGATCCCATATCAGTTAGAAAAGTTTATCAAAAGTAAGACCTTTTTTCTTAAATCTAACTTCTGCATGTGGGACATTTTTATTTTTGCATGTATACATTATGTGATAGATGCTAATGTGATTTTCCATGTGGTACTTCCCAGGCAAAATAGCTACTTGAATTTAAATTTTTATTCAATGTGTCTTCTATTTACATCTTAGTTAGTTGAGTCTATGGTGGAGAAAGAGAAAGGTTTAGCCTATTCAACTGTAGATTAAAACATAACATGGACATAAATTGTAGGTGCCAGAAGTTAATTAATGTAGAGAATTTCTACTCCTTTTCTTGATACATCATTCATTTATATATTAGAGTTATGAATTGAAACTCTTTGAAACTGTCCAAAATATACCTGAAACGAACTATAATTAAAAATATATTTAGATTCAAGGATTAATCTTTCCCAAAGTTGTATAATTATAAAAATAATGAGTCATTGAAATGCAAATTATGTGCCTCTTCCAAAAGCCTGTCAAATTAGAATCCTCATGGGGTGGACCTAAGTATCTGCATGTTTAAATGTTTCATTCTTATTTCTGGGCAAAGTTTTTGCAATGGAGCAGTGCTCCTTAAATTTTAATGTGTATACAAATCATCTGGGAGTGTTATTAGAATGTAGATTCTGATTCTATAAGGGTTAGGACTATGAGTCTCTTTCTAATAGGCTCTCAGGTGATTCTGATGCTGCTGGTGCATGGATCACCCTTGAGTACAGAGTGTGGACCTGGACAACCCAACACAGTAGCCAAGAATCACATTTCTATTGGTCACTTGAAATGCATCTGGTCTAAACTGAAATATGTTATGAGTGTAAAATATAACACATTCTGAATTTTGAAATTTTAGTGTAAAAAAATGCCAAATATCTCAAACATGTATCAATTACATGCTGAAATAATATGAACACACTGAGTCTAAGCATGATTTTTACTTGTTTCTTTTTACTTTTTCTAATTTGGCCACTAGAATATTTTTAATCTCCTATGTGGCCCGCTTTATACTTCCTATTTGGACATTACTGATCTCACACTAAATCACATATTGATCTAAGAAAGGAGAATACTACACATTGGAAAGACTTTTTAATAGTAAAGACTGAAATACATTGTAATGTGCTTAAATCGTCTAGTTAGCCTAGGTTTTATCAAATGAATATGTTTTCTAAAGAGGACAATAGAAAAGGTTTACATCAAACCTTCATCACTTACCTAGAATGGTCTCATCTGTTCCAAAATGAGCCCGGTAGAAGAGGACCATCTCCAGCCAGTAGACGTGGTAAACAACAATGAGAATCACCACCAGCAGGACCGTGGCTCCAAAACCACATGCCAGCTCTACTGTGTATCTTGGAGCTACCACTGGAATAAATAACAAACCAGAAGGAATTTCTATGTGGTGATCACAGTGGCCCATCATGTTGCAAAGCTGGATAAGCCCAGCGGCTAAACCCTGCACCTGACTTACATGTTTGAATAAACAGAGATAACACTGTAGACTTTAGACTCTATTTCATAATACTAGATTGTCTCATATTCATTTTACTGTGTTTTGTTTGTAGCATAGAAGGTGCTTTTAGCTATCAGTTGATTTGAACTTTGATGATATACAACTAAAACAGAATCTTAACATTGGGCAGGATTCAGAAAGCTATCTAATTAAACTCACAATCTGACCCATACATCACCTCAAAACATTTTTGAACCTCTGATAGGTTATCTCTGGAATGGAGTCTTAAATATCCTACCTGGAGAAGCCCATGATATTGGTAGACTGTCATAGAGAAGGAATTTAGTTCCTTTTCCTTTATTTGCAAAGAGGCTTCAAAAATCTTATTTTCAGTTGGCAGAAACAGAGGGCTTTTATCCATGTCCACAGTTCTGGGATACACACTGTGAAGACTGACTTGCAATACGTGGTTATGGACAGATTTCCACATAACCTACTTACTTTTATGTCATAGACACCATGCCTGCTTTTTTTTTTTTTTAAATAAGAAATAGAGTGAGATAATTCCCAATTAATGTAAAACTGGTTCTAACTCATCAGCCCTGGAAACCAAGTCTTTTAGAACTGAATCACTGGTCACAGCAGACAACCTTCCTGTCTTGTTGACCACTGCCCTTTCCTCACAAAACTCAAGAAGATGTCACATCATGCCTTGATCATGCAAGAATTTCTGGTTGGAACAGTGCTTTCCCTGTTTTAGTTTTCAAGGTCAATGTTCAAAATGCCATTTTTTTTGAAAGATAAAACCCTTTTTTTCAAGCTGAGCTCTGCCTGTAGAAATCTCCACTCTTCCCTATTTATAATTTTTTACAGTGTTTTTATTTATATAATGTGATTTATCTTATAGGCCTGCTTCTCCACTCCCTCTCACTTCCCCTAATCTGTACATTCCCTGTTTTCCAGGTGGGGACCATCTTTTCATCTATCCCATTTAGATATTTATTTATTTATTTTTTAAAATTTATTTATTTATTTTTTATTGGTTGTTCAAAACATTACAAAGCTCTTGACATATTTCATACATTAGATTCAAGTTGGTTATGAACTCCCAATTTTACCCCAAATACAGATTGCAGAATCACATCGGTTATACATCCACATTTTTACATAATGCCCTATTAGTAACTGTTGTATTCTGCTACCTTTCCTATCCTCTACTATCCCCCCTCCCCTCCCCTCCCATCTCTCTCTCTACCCCATCTACTGTAATTCATTTCTCTCCTTGTTTATTTTCCCATTCCCCTCACAACCTCTTAATGTAATTTTGTATAACAATGAGGGTCTCCCTCCATTACCATGCAATTTCCCTTTTCTCTCCCTTTCCCTCCCACCTCATGTCTCTGTTTAATGTTAATCTTTTCTTCCTGCTCTTCCTCCCTGCTCTGTTCTTAGTTGCTCTCATTATATCAACGAAGACATTTGGTATTTGTTTTTTAGGGATTGGCTAGCTTCACTAAGCATAATCTGCTCTAGTGCCATCCATTTCCCTGCAAATTCCATGATTTTGTCATTTTTTAGTGCTGCGTAATACTCCATGGTGTACAAATGCCACATTTTTTTTATCCATTCATCTATTGAAGGGCATCTGGGTTGGGTAATTCTCACACTGTACTATGTATCAGAAACTTCCCTTTGGTTGCTTGTCGTAACTAGCTAAAGAGTCTGAGGAAGGAATGGAACATTTGCTAAATCTGAAGCAGGAGGGCTTAACTTAGGTAATTGTTGATTTGATGGTTACTTATTAACATGTACTGTTTGCCACAGCCTTTGGGGGACAGAATGGTGGATAAGAGAAGAAGATCTCTGTACTTTGGGAGATAATGTCCTAATGCAGAAAAGCAAAAAGGAAATAAAATAAAAGGAAATAAATCTGCATTAATTTTGAGTACTGATCAATGCCAAAAAGAAAAAAAAAAATGGTATGTGATAGAGTTGACCAGGGAATGAGGCTGGGGCAAGGGAGGTCTATTAGTCATTGTAGTGAGGGAACACTTCTGTGAGCCATGAATTCAAAGCCAGCCCCAGCAAAAAGTGAGGCTAAGCAACTCAGTGAGACCCTGTCTCCAAATAAAATACAAAAGAGGGCTGGGGATGTGGGTCCATGGTTGAGTGCCCCAAGATCACCATGGAGCAACTCTCAATTCAAAGTGCAGGGATCTTTGCCTAATATTGCCATGAGTTCAATTATTGGTCATATATAAGGGGGAGAGATTCCTTTCTAAACAGTTTTCTATGCAAAACAGAAAAAAAATGGTAATCAGTGGAATTGAATCCAAACTTTTCTAATTAAAGGGCCAATTGTAGAGTTTCGAGTTCAGGATCCCAAACTCAGGTTGTTAATCCTGCTGCAGGTACAGCCTGGGACACAGCATATGAAATGATTATCAGGTACTCTAGTACTTGCTTCATGAATAGTGGCCTATTAAAAGAAGAAAATCCCACCATAAAATGCCAGAAGTATTGTTACTGAGGATTTGCTAAGATTAATTCAGGTAGCTGGCACAAAAATTGTTGTGTCCTTGATATTTCCGAGTACGTGTTATGTTAATAGCACACCAGGGTAGGTCCCACTGTTATTTGCATTATTTGCTGAGTTATTTTGGCTCTCTAAAATGTCCATCCAGGCAAAATGGGGGGAGGAGGAGGAAAGGTCACTAGCTACACTTACCTGAAATGGATTTTTCTAACCGTCAATTGAGGTCTTGCTTAATGACCAAAAGATCAATTACCCTCTTAAATTTCTATCGCATTCATTTTACTACTATCTATTTTTTTCTAATGAGCCTTTAAATTTTGTTTTGTGTCACACAATCACAAGTGTCATATTTATGAATAATTTTGTGTAGCCATCTTGCTAAAAAGGAGACCCTAATGCTACTTAACTAATTGAACTCTTAAAATATTCCCCATCAGCCTGATTTTCTAAATGGCTTGGGTCAGGTGCAAGGGATGCCCTACAAGGTTTTCATGTGGAGCTGTGCTGGTTTACTGGGAAAGGGTGACCCTCTGCTCACATGTTCTATCTGCCCCAGCTGCAACCTCTGGCATTTTGACATAATTATTTTACCCTTATGCACTCTCAGACCAAAGGGTTTCCAATCAGAAAGGGGTGATGAAATTTGGCCAAATTGGACTCCTGAACTGCTTCCCTCGTTGATTTCAATAATAATCTAACTCAGGATGTAGCCATTTGCTTCTTGTTATTCCTGAATTCAAATTTCCTCCATTCATTTTGCAATTCTACAGTAAAAAAAATGTCTCAAAACTCCAAATTTCATCCTTATTGTAATTGGAAACTTGCTATCTATTGAGTCCTTCAAGCAAATGCCACCTACTCAGATTCCAAGGGACCACAGAATCTGTGGTCACACTTTGATAAATTTATGGAACTTCTTGATAATTTTTGGAACTGGTAATGACCATTTTTTTCCTCAATTGCAAACAGAGAATTCTCTATTTAAATAATGGTAAAGCAAAGACTTAAGATGGACTTGATTTGGCTATTGCAGTGTGTTAAAGTTTACGTATTTTGAACTTCAGCTTCTGTCCTTTGAGGAGTAATTGATAGTAGAATTGCCTTCCTTATACAAAACAAAAGGTTTTTCATAATAGGACAACTAATAGCACATGAGTGCAATCTATGGGGAAAAGGGTCAAAACAAGATTAAGCCTGGTCACGGGCTTAATCTTCTTTTAAGTTTTCTTCTTTTAATAGGCCACTATTCATGAAGCAAGTAGTAGAGTACCTGATAATCATTTCATATGCTGTGTCCCAGGCTGTACCTGCAGCAGGATTAACAACCTGAGTTTGGGATCCTGAACTCACAACTGGGTTGTGGCACAGATAGAGGAAAGCCAAAAGAGGGCAGAGGTTGCACTGAATTCAAAGAAATTAGAGTTCAAGAGTAGTTGGCATGTATTTATAGGCCTGAGTACCAGATAGAAGAGAACACTAGCAATGGAGTAGAGTAGAAAAGTAACTCTAGCAAATACATGGGGTTACCTTGAGTCTTTGGCCAAATCAAAGCGAAGCATATTTAGGGTGGTACTTTACATGGTCAGGCAAAAAGCAGCTAGAAACTGCACAATACCTGGAGCTCTGTAGAGCTGGACAAGAGCTGAGTTTAGGCCACTTAGAGGTCAGAAACTTCATTTAGCTACAAAGATGCCACAGAAGGCTGAGCCTTAGAAGTAGGTCCCATGCAGCCCTATAGAAAAGGCTATTTATTTTTTGACTATTCTAATGCAGATATGGAAAGTGACTTAAGACAAATAAATATGCAAATACCTATGCAAGCTAATTAACTACCTGCTAGAACAAAATTCAACATTCTAATAAAACCCAGAGGTTCAGTGATACAGCATCTAAAATGTCCACTACATGACAAAAAATAATAGGATAAAGAGAAAAATATGTGATCCATATTCAGAAAAAAAAATCATCCAGTATAAATAGAACCAAAATTGGCAAAGATACTGCAATTGCCAGTAAGTACATTGAAATGTATATTAAAATTTGTCTGCTGAATTAAAAGCAAGAGGTATCTTGACTATCATGATGCAAGAATAGGAAATATCAATATTACAATAGAGAAATGGAAATATGCATTTCTGAAATTAAAAATGCTACAACTTAGATGTCACAAAAGAAATTATTAGTAGTCACTAGAAACTATCCAAACTCAGATTTTAAAAGGAATGAAATTAAATGAGAAACTTGGTTACCTGAGGGGGAACTACTGAGTTGTGTATCATAAATTTTACTGCAAGACTAAAGAAAGTGAAAATACTATGATTTATAGGAAAATATATTTGAAGAAACAAAGGCTGAAAATTTTTTGATTTAATAATA